GTCGGGCCTGTCCCTCTACAGGGGGGATATGCAAAAATAGTGAAAAAATAGTCTGGGGGCGATTTGTTGACATTTTTTTTTGCATCTGGGAGGTATTTTTGGGTATTCGTCATTTGTCGCCCAAAATCCCCCCTGTGGGGGGACACGCCCGACTTCAGTCCAGCTCGAGCCCTGCTCCAGACGCTCCACGCGGGAGTCCAGCCACGTGCGGTGCCAGCTCCCCAGCAGCCCCCGCGCGCCCCGAAGGCGGCCACGGGCTCCCGCTCGCTCGGGCAGGGGCAGCAGCTGCGCACGGTGAAGCCCCCGTCCTCGAAGCCGAGCCGGCTGTCGAACTACGAGGACCGCCGTGGTCATCGTCCTCGTCCTCGTCCTCGTCGCCCTCCTCGCCGAAGAGGAAAAATAAAGGTAACAAAATCCTCCTCGGCGTCGCCGCCACCGTTGTCCTCAGTTTGGGTGTCACGGTCATCGTCGTCGCCCCCATCGTCGTTGTCGTCATCGCCGTCGCCGTCGTCGTCCCAACAACACCCCCTGCCTTTGGTCTCACGCGCACTCCTACCTGTACCAGGTTCTCATGCATGGTCCCCCCTGTCGGAGTAATTATACTTTGGGCATCATCGCCGCCATGGCTGTTGCCACGACTCGATTTGCCCGAAATCCTGGTCAGAACGCGCTCCAGGACATGTCCAGGAGTAGATTCCTGATTTCGATGGGAGACCCAGGCTGCAATTGTCGGAATAACCGCACCCCCTCAGTGATCCACCACATTTTTTATTGAAGACTTGCGATGGAACAAGACAATCCTGACCAGTCGTTGTTCGGTAGGGCCTGTTTGGTTGACTCCGGGGCTCATCTGGCTCTGAAAAGAAGGGAGGGGCCAGCCGACGACCGCGGTGCGAGGAGCCCGAGGAGGCGATCGAGAGCGAGGCGGAGCTCCTCGAGCGCTACATTATACCGCCTTGGCCGTAGGAGACCCCGACCCGTCCACTCAGCGCTCGGTTAGGCTGCCGTCGAGGATCGAGGTTTGATGTCAAGGCGTCAGGTTCTGGAAAGTTTCTGCATCGTATCGGCCGCTTCTGGGTTCCAGGACAGTCACGAAAAAATCCGAGGCGACAAACCGGTCCCCTGTAGAGGGTCGAGAGTTCCAGGGGCCGTGGGCTGCGAATCTGAACGTCGGAGGTCTGGGTGCTTGTCGTCGTCCTAGGATCGATGCTCGAGGATCAAGGGATTTTTGACGCGGTTCGTGTTTTTGTTGCGGCCCTCTCTGTAAATGCATATGTATATAAGAAACACACATATATAATTGAGTAAATCCCAACCAGTGGATGGGTTGTTATCCGCCACCGTGCCTCGAGGCACGACACAGAGTGTTCACCAGGCTTCCAGAGTTCACTATATTCTGTATTCCAAGAAGGGGCCCCGACCATGCATTGCCAGACTGTTCGGGTTCCGATTAGCAGAGCGGCGCTCTGCTATTTTGCCTCAAGGTTTGCGCACTCGCTGCTCCTCCCCTCATTCGCAGAGCTCTGCTCTACTCATTGGCCTGAAAGCAGGGTTCCCCATCCTGCTCGTGCTCTGTTGAACAGAGCGCCGCTCTGCTAATTCGCCTCAGAGCATCTGCGCGTTCATTGCTCCTCCTCTCGTTAGCAGAGCGCCACTCTGTTAATTTGATTCAGAGCATGCGCAGTTGCTGCTCATGCTTTATTCACCCGAGAGGTGCTCCACTAATTGCTCCCATGGGCGCCTTGTGGAGCCCATGATCTTCCGAGAGGCATCCCGAGAAGCCCTCATATGCATCGAACAGGTCTATGACCCACAACCCAGGCCCGGTGGCGGGATTGGCAGTTGGCACACACACACACACATGTGTATATATATATGTATGTACATCGGAATGCGTATGCGTGTAAGTGCTGTGCGCACATGTGTATATACACATGCGTAGCTACACATATCCATTCCGTATACGTAACTATCCCTCTATATACGATGAGGATACCTGTAATGTTTATTATCACCCCCTTCGGGTATCCAACGATAAGACGGTACATGTGCTGACCTCGGGTCCGCGTGTTTACAAGTTCGGCACGGCACGAAACATACACGTTCACCATGCAAGGGCAGCACGGATGCGTTACGCGAGCAAAGGTGGAACGCCTGCGGGGCCCCATGTCCCACACATGCCCACACGGGGTGGCAGTTGTCAAGAAACCATCAACAGGAACGGATGGGGCGCCAGCCCTTATTATAACATTGTTCAGACAGGGCCCCCTCACATTTTACTGAAGACACGTGTCCCCAGCATTGTAGAAGCCATACCAATATCCAGAGAAAGTGGTACTCCACAGAAATGATCCAGCCAGCGAACGTACACCATCCCAATCACCATTGTATCTGATGTCGCGCGTTCAGGATCCTTGATGCACCAAAAATGTATCACATACTGGACACCACTACTCAACAAAGAAAACGTCAGGCCCCAATTGAACCTCAACGTCGACTTGAAGCTCGGGTTCCACTTCGCTATCTTCTGCATGCTTGCGCCCCTACCCAGGCCCTTCAGCTTCGTCACCAGTTTGCCTTTTGACGCCTTGCCTAGCGTGGCAGAGAACACCGTCACTCGCAGAATGGAACACAATACGGCGCGGCTCTCCGTCTGTTTGCCTTGGGCCATCCGCAGGAGTTCGAGCGGGGTACGCAGAAATAGGGGACGAGCTTCCTGCACCGTTTCCCTCCGACTCCTTTTTGACCACGTCCAACCGTTGTATCAACTCCTTTGTTTGCCTGGCGACTGGACCCTGTGCGTTGAAGGTCACGCGGTACACCTCGTTACCGTTGATCCGCATTCCCGCCGTTTTTTGTGCCGTCGTTTCTCAACGCCATGAGGGGTCGTGGCATACATCGATCAGTAATTTTTGCTGAGACGACCCCACGCTGCACCAACTCTCTAAACCGTTCCGAATGCCGCCACAGCGATGATGTTTCCCCTGATGTGTGTTACCATCTGTCTTGACCATTGCCTGGTACCCGTACACCTGCATCCGTGTCTGTATTTCTTCTTCTGGCGTGTCTCCGTATTCCGTTGATTGTAATGCGTATTCATGCGTCTGCTCGCTGGCTTGGTTGCCCAGCTTCGTCATGACAGACTCCTCTCCTGGCCTGCCTTTCATGCCCTCCCTATTCCCCGTAGCGGTGTCCCCCTTGCGTTTCGCGACGAGCCAGGCCATGAGGGGCAGGCTGGATGACGCGATGTAGTCCGAGCTCTGCTTGCAAATGCTGAATCAGGATATGGTTACGGAGCGCATCTACACCATCAGTTTCGAACTCGCACGTCGGAGAGTTCCGTGCATACCAGGCAACCGCTCCATCGTGTTTGGTTCGTCCAGTTCGGCATGCCCTGGTTTTAAAGTCCCTGGTCATGTGATACATTTCAGCAAATACACTTCGTAGCAAATACAGCTCTGCAAGCCACACAAAACTGTTAGCAACACACCACAAGCTTCCGAAGAGCTACCGCCCACGAGTGCCATGTCTACGCCTCGCACAGGGCACTGCTGATCGTTGCTGCGTCGGGGCACAGGCCCCGCCCTTCCCCATCCGGTCCGGTCCCGGCGCAGCACACCGACAGGGCCCCCTCGTTCGAGTGGTCTGGCATGCTGTACAGATTCCTGGCTGTGCGCTCCAACGCAGGACTCGAGACCCTGCGCGTGTAAGTTGATAGAGTCCTCAACTCCATTCGCGATCACATCCGCGGGGTTCTTGCACCTCTCTCAGGGATAGCGGCTCCGTCGTCAAAAGCCTGCAGTGCCTGAATATCGCAGAGAAAGTGCGTGGCCCATGTATTCACAGGAGAGCCTCTGGAGGCCCTAGCCAGCGTGGACTCGATGTCCTCGAGTGCACCAAAAACGACAAGGAACTGAGCGGGCCGACTCGGATGTTTCAGGCATTGTTGGAACCACTTGAGTCTACGCGTTCGCAGCTCAAGATGAGTAGGCACTAAACTCACAGCGCGCAACACACTAATATTACAGTCCGTTTCCCATGCATCATTCGTTAAGGTAGCCGCACCCTTTGAAAGAACGCGTGCGCATTTGGCTGGCATGCGATCGACAGGAGCCCGGTCGGCCTCGCGCGACAGCGCAGAACTTGTCGCGAGACGTTATGCTCCCGAGAGGCTCGCATGCATTGCGTGCTCGTTGAAAAGGTTACACCGCCATTTAAAGCGCGCGCTCGAGGTCCAGACTCGCTCCGAGGAAAACCAGGCCGTTCTTCCAGCCTGAAGCCTGAAGCCGATGCTGAAATCCGCGCAACGCAAGCCTCGAGCACAACCTGGGCCCAGGTACCCGGCTATCGCGACGGTCCTTCCCTGCACTGGCGCCCCAGGAGGTGCGCTTCGGCGCCGAGTTTCTCGAGATTCCCTGCTGGGGGGCAAGGGGCGGGCGCAATTTCAAGAAACCCCTCCGCGTCCTTAAATCTAGCCGCTTGGGAGTTTCTCGAAATTCACCGCTGGGGGGGCGGGAGGCAAACGCAATCTCGAAGGACTGTGCCGCGAAGGACTGGCGATTAAACGCTCCTCGAAATTCCGCGCCAGGGCAGGGGGCTGCAATTTCGAGAAACTCCTCCGCGCCTGAAATCTGGCTGTTTGGGAGTTTCTCGAAATTCCCCGCTGGGGGGCGTGGGGCGGGCGCAATTTCGAGAAACCCTTCCGCGGCTTGAAATCTGGCCACGCGGGGGGGCGAGGGGCGGGCGCAATTTCGAGAAACTCTTCCGCGGCCTGAAATCTGACCGTTTGGGAGTTTTTCGGAATTCCGTCCCCCCGTCGCCCCCGCATTGGAAATCATGGAGTTTATCAAAAGTGCCGGCTTGAAACCTATTTTAAGAAACTCCAGTTTGGCCTGATCAGCGGCTTGCAGAGGAGTTTCTCGAAATTTGGCCGCGGCGACAAGCGGAATTCTGATACATTTCCATGTAGTTTCATTCTTGGATTGCAGAGGATTTTCGCAAAATATGTTTTGAACAAGAAATTCCCAGAAACGCAGCTCGACCAGGTACCCCACCGAGGGCCCCAGTGGCTGCGCTCGAGTGGCACCACCGCACCCATTCCGGCACCCCTCACACGTTTCGCGGCCCCGTAGGAGTGTTGGTTGCGCTCGCATGGCGCTACCGCGCCCATGTCGGCACACCCCTTACACGTTTCGCCGCCCCATAGTAAGCCCCACCGAAGGTCTCAGTGGCTGCGCTCGCGCGGCACCACCGCAGCGATTTCGGCACCCTTCACACGCTTTGTGGCCCCGTAGGGAGCTCCACCGAAGGTCCCAGTGGTTGCGCTCGCACGGCATCACCGAGGCGATTTTGGCACGCCTCTCACACCGTTCGTGGCCCCATTGGTTGCGTTCGCATGGCACCACCGCGCCCATTTTGGCACACCCACAGCACGCTTCGTGGTCCCATGAGGAACTCCACCGAGGGCCCCACTGGCTGTGCTCGCATGGCGCCACCGTGCTGATTTCGGCACACCCCTCACACGCTTCGCGGTCCCATAGGGAGTCCCACCGAAGATCCCAGCGGTTGCGCTCGCATGGCTCCACCAGACCCAGTCCGGCACCCATCGCACATTCCGTGGCCTCATGATGAGCTGAATCGAGCCCCAATGGCTGCGCTCGCATGGCACCACCGCGCTAATTTCGGCACACCCTTTCACACGTTTCGTGGCCCCGCAGGGAGCCCCACCGAAGGTCCCAGTACCCCGTACGCTTCGTGGCCCCAAAAGGAGTCCTACCGACACCGATCGGTACCCTCATCGCGGTATTCCCAATTGCAGAGGACTGGGTTTTTCGCCAGTATATTTCGCAGAGGATGGTGGGGGGGGTCGAACCTGGTTTGGCTGGTGTCATACGAAGACATACTCGAAATTGAAGACGGGACATACTCGCATGTAACTTGCACGTCCACAGAAGGGGGGCGGCCCCGGCCTCGGGAGGGCGGTGGGCCCCAATTCCTTGTAGAAGGGAGAGCCTCTGTGATGCGACATGCGATGTGCAGTACATGTGGTGCGATGTCCGTTGTGCAGACAAGTTCGAGGCGGTGACAGCGGCAACGTTTTACCGGGCGAAGAGCGGTATAACATAAATTTTCCGCCGTCGGGGGCGCCTGCCCTTGGGCGGCTGGAAAGTTTATACCCCTACGGTGCCACCGTAAGGGGGTATTATTTTTTTCAGCCGCCCAGGGGCAGGTGTCCCCGACGGCGAAAAAGTTTGGTTTACGCCGTTCTTCGCCCGGTAAAACATAGCCGCCAGACCGACAGACAGGCCCAGGTTTTGGCGGCGACGAGGCAGCGACGGGGCGGTGACGGCGACAACATACAGTCGGGGCGCTGAAGAAGGAGCCCTTCTCGTTTGGGAGGGGCCCCGTGTCCCTTAATCGTTTCACAGCTTGCCTTCTGTTTTCCGCAGGTGTTCGACGGGACACCGAAGTTTCACTCCTGGAAAAAGGGGGCCTCGTTCCTAATTTCTGGGGTTCCTTAGGTCAACGCCCCGACGGTAGCCGCCAGACGAACAGACAGGCCCAGGCCTCGGGAGTGCGGTGGGCCCTAATTCTTTTTAGAAGAGAGGGCCTATGTGATGCGACATGCGATGCGCAGTATGTGTGGTGCAGAGTCCGTTGTGCAACCTAGTTCGAGGCGGCGATAGCGGTAACATCGCCGCCAGACCGACAGACAGGCCCAGGCTCTGGCGGCGACGAGGCAGCGACGGGGCGGTGACGGCGACAACATACAGTCGGGGCGCTGAAGAAGGAGCCCTTCTCGTTGGGGAGGGGCCCCGTGTCCCTTAATCGTTTCACAGCTTGCCTTCTGTTTTCCGCAGGCGTTCGATAGGGAAGCCGAAGGTTAACTCATGGAAAAAGGGGGCCTCGTTCCTAATTTTTGGGGTTCCTTAGGTCAACGCCCCGACGGTAGCCGCCAGACGAACAGACAGGCCCAGGCTCCGGCGGCGACGAGGCAGCGACGGGGCGGTGGCGGCGACGACGTAGCCGCCAGACGAGCAGACAGGCCCAGACAAGCGGCGGCGACGGGGCGGCCGACGGCGGCAACACGGCCGCCAGAGCCGATAGACAGGCCCAGCTCCTGAGTAACGGGTGACAGCACCAAAGCGCAAGCATTGATTGGGGAAGAGGGAAAGAGAGAGAGAGAGAGAACAAAAAAACAGGATACATATATACATATATATATATATATAGAGAGAGAGAGGAAACATACATATATAGAGAGAGAGACACACACGGAAGCCGTGCACGTCAGAGGTGCAGTGGCACGATGCCGAGGCAATCTGACATGGTACAGTTTCGGCGGCGCTGCTGCAGAACACATGTGAATCGACTGAACGGTTATTACTTCTATTTCAGGGCCTCTGCGGGTCTCAAAACAATCTTGAAAGCACTTGAGGGCCCTGGAGGTAGTTCTGAGACGTCCCGGAACTAGACTTCTCGTGTCTCGAAGACTGCCGA